CTCTCTGAGGGACTGTTTACTTTAGCCGCATTCATCGTGAAACTTGCTAATTAGCACATTATTAGGAAAGATTTGCAAAGATTAATTAAAAAACCTTATACTCACTTCTTCTGTAGGTGAAGCTGGATCACGAATGATTTGCGCGAACATAGACGCATTTAGGTAGATCAGGGGCGCATTCCCTTCAAAAACAAAGGTAATCCACTGCGTCTTCAGCGGCTCAGATGTCGAGAGTAAATGACGACTGCTATGTTCATTATTACATCCAACAACAGAACACAACAAATCAATCACTTAGGAGTCATTCTTGTCTACATCTGCTCCAACGGTGAAACAAGGGCAGACTGATGACAGTCACTCAGGGCGGAGCTAAGGTAAGACACCAGTCCAGTCTGTGCTGAAACGCTACTGTCAATCAAACTATCATGGGAGGGGCCTGTTTTTGTGATGTCACACAGACAGGCATCTGAGATCGGCTCGATTTGAGAAAGGGGTAAAATTTTAGTAGATTATAGGGTGGTTGTGTACTAGGGGTTGCACAGACTAATCGACTAGTCGACTTCAATGCTCTGCCATGACGCTTTAAGCTTGACGTCGACTAGTCGCTGGTCCTATAGAGGGCGAAAAAGGATAAGAAATCTTTGAAGGAATTCCACATTTACGCTCTGTTTCCAAACTGTTCAAATGTCAAATAAATGCATACTCTGAAAGCGCTCCACAAGACATGTGTGATTATATTACTGGATGCTCGAAATTGAACAGGAAAATGCACGTTTTAAACAGCTTATTGCACAGGTAAGTTAATCGCCATTCTAATCTAATGCGCTGCTGCACTGTAACACACACACATAAGCTACAGACAGTAGCGCATACATCACACGCACAGAGTAAGTCAGCGTGGAAATGTATTGTCAACGCTGTTCTGTGATTTCTCAATAAAATAGCTTAGAAACTGAAAAGTTCAAGCATATATTTCTTAATAACTAAATTCCACAGCTTCACTACTAGTAGAGAGACGCTGCCAGGTAGAATTAATTCACACACGCAATCGCTCTCACTAATGCATTCATATTAATGGAATCCTTACTGCGCTACTTTCTCTGTATCTGATTTAGAACGAGCAGAAATCTGTGAGAAATATAACGACCCAAAGACAAAAGAACGGATAAAAAAGCTGTTATAGGAGAAACCGCCATGTGGGCAGCGCTGTGTCATATGCCATAGCTGTGCCCAAGGTGTTTGTCACAGCTCCAGACTTATTTGTTCATTAATGACGTCATCAGCGACTAGTCGACTTCGACTCGACTTTCATCACATAAAAGTCGACTTCAAAAAATCAGAAGTCGTTCAACCCCTATTGTGTACACACACTGCCAACACACATTTCAGTTCAAACAACTTGTAAAAGTGCATGTAGCATCCAATGAGCCCTTTAAAACATGTACATTATCAACAAATGTAAAATGTAGTGAGAATACTGCAATTCATGGTACTTACGTGGCGCAGGGCGGCACCCCATCCCCTTCAGGTTCACAGGCCTGGCTTTCCTCCAGCTGGGGACACTCAGACCCTCCTCCGGTAGGAAGCCGTATCAGCTGTCTGCTGCGGGAGCGTGTGCCCTGAGGAACACTAGGGTCTGAGCAGGTCTTTGAGCAGGAGCCCCACACGCTCCATTCACTGACCACACAGTCTTTAGTCATCAGGCAGGACTGGAACGTCTCCGGAAGACTCCAGTGGGGACACTGGCTGATACAGGACAGACGAGTAGAAGTACTGGTCAGTCAACATGACAAGATAATTCTTTTACAGTAATCAAGGACATATTTCAATGGTAGAAAAAAAACCTTCTTTACACCAGAGTTATTATTAACTAAAACTAAAACCATTAAAAATATTCTCATTACTTCAAACAAGACAAAAAAAAATGAACTGAAATAAAACAACACGAACATATATCGAAAAAGTTTTTGTTTAGTTTAAGTTGAAATACTAAAATAACTCAAACTAAATAAACAAAATAAAAAACTAAAATTTTATAAAAACTATAGACATTAAAAAAATAAACCATATTATTAATTAAATAAATATGATAAATACTTCAGCATTCAGATAAAAAAAATCAGCATTTTCAGCATTAGAGCATTACTTGAAATGTCTGGGCAAATGTCAATTTTATTTAAAACAAATTAAAATAAGACAAAACAAAAAATGGAATTAAAATACAATATAACGTAATTAAATATAATTAATAAAATAAAATTAGAATTATTAATAAAATAAAATTAAAATTATTAATAAAATAAAATTAAATAGTTCAGGGGTTCAACTAACAAATAAAAAGAGGTGAACCCGATACCATCACTTTACCACAGTATCACTGCAATATTTTCTCTTTTAATACTTTAATAACATAGTAACTTTAACTCAATTTGCAGCTGAACAACAGATTTTGTAATTGTTTCAGAGGCTGGTAAATTAATGCTGGGCAGTGTGAATGCAGCAATTTCTCTTGGTGTCTTATTTTCTCTGTAGGCAATGTGGCTGACGAGCTATTACTGCTAATTACAGGCTGCTTCCTTTCCAGCGTAGCTTCATTTAGCAACCGCTCATTTAGGTGCCGTGGCTGCCAAACTCACCTCAGGGCAGCACAGACTCTTAACCACATAAACTTCAAAACTGGCACTGTTTTCCACCCACTTTAAACCCAGATTAAGATGTCTTGAAACCATTTAAAAATCTGGCAAAATAATGACACCATATTGCAACACAATAACTCTTCCTGAGGTATAAAAGCGATAGTAGCCGTTGGTAAACTGTATTTGGCAGAAATGGAGAGTATGCCAGTCTGACGTAATAGATTATTTTCTTTTTTTTACGCAAACATAGTGTGCACATCAAATAATCATCAATTAATTATTATTTCTAAAAATCTATTTTTTAAAGAATTTTAAAGTAAAAAAGTGTTGCAATTATTAATAATAAAAATAATGAATAAAGATTAATAATGAATTAATATGAATTTATATCAACTTAATGATGTTTCCTAAATTATAAGTATCATTGAGTTTTTGGGGAGTTGCACCACATCACATTTTACAACTTTATAGAAAATATTTAAATGAATATTAATAATTCAGAAAATATAAACATAGGCATCATAGAAAAGGTGTATCAAACTCATTGCACAAATTGATTTTTTAATGTATTTTTGAATAAATAATTTGAATGTTAATTATTATTAATATTCATTATAATAATGTAATGATATCTATTAATTCATAAATATCTTTTAGTTTTTGGGTGTCACACCAATAATGATAATGATTATTATTATTCAAATGAATAAATATTCATATTAACTTAATGGTATTTATTAAATTATAAATGTGAAACATTTTACAACCTATACTACTCAAAAGAAATATCAAAATGAATATTAATAATTCAGAAATGAAAAACATGCTCACAGAAGAGGTGTATTCTAGTCATTGTACACATTTTAAATATATTTTTGAAAATATTAACATTAATATTAATTGATTATGACTGATATTAATACAAAACTGTGATTACTAATAATTAATTAATTACTATTAATATTAATGGTATTTATTCAATTATAAATATCATTAACTTTTCGGGGAGTTGCACCATGAAATATTTTACAACCTGAACTACTCAAAAGAAATATAAAAAAAATGAATATTAATAATTCAGAAATCATAGAAAAAGTGTATTTAAGTCATTGTACAAATTATATTTTTCAAGTATCTTTAAATAAAAAAATATTAATGTTAATTAACTATTTCATTAAATTATTATTATTATTAAATATAAGCTTTTTTGGGGGGGGCACACCAAAATATAAAATGAATATCAGAAAATATAAAAATTTATATCAATAATTCTGAAACAAAAAACATGCATTCAAATCACTGTACAATTCGCACTGTAATGTATTTTTTAACAAAGCTGTGATGTTAACTGCATTCACTGTTTAACTCGTACAAAACAATGTACTTTACAAAAATCCAGAAACAAAGTTTTTGAAAATTATTTACAATACAGTACACTGAACAGACTATTCTTCCACCCCTCACAACCTCATTTTTATTTATGTCAAATTATTATGGTTCTAATGGGAAAAGCCACTAACCTGAGTGACACCGTGCTTCCGTTTCGATGCACACAAACCACTTGCCGAGACTGGTAGCCTATTTCCACATTCCAGAGCTCGTCCTCTAGTCGATTCAGCTTGTTGCGGTTCCTTTTGCTCTTAATAAGCTCGCGCATCTCCGGGTCCCGGTTCCCTTTCCTCTCTTTGCCTTTACGCTGGCGGGCCTGGCGGGCGGTGCGCGAGGGGGCGGCAGAGGAGGTCGGAGGTGGCTGTAAAGACGCCAGCTTGCACTCGCTCCATCCGCCCACTTTCAGACTGAACACCATCTCTCTGCCCTCGCAGGCCCTCGGCGCACATGTCTGGAACTCCGTCAGATTGGGGCAAGGAAGCCCGCTGAAAAGCGGTGGTGCCACGATGGAGCGGACGCGGTTCTGCAGGCCCAGCCCGCAGGTCTTGGAGCACGTGGTCCATGGGGTGAACTCGGTCACCACACAGTCTTGAGGGCAAGGAATTAAACAGGCCTGTTCCTGCCGGGGTTTGGGCTCAAAGTACTCACAGATGGTGTCGTCGGCAGCTGAGCTGTCCGCCTTGAGCACACAGTTCACCTCCCGCGTCTGGATGCCCTCTTCGCCCTGCAGGCAAACGCCCGTGCGGCCGGTCTGCAGCGATACGGGAACACACTGGTTCCACTCGCCTAGCCACCAGTCGTATAGGTCCTTGTGCCAGTCGCAGACGTGGAAGCAGCTCTGTTGGTTGGCCGGCCTCGTGGACTGAAGACAGTTGGTGTGAAGGGTCGTCCAGCCTTCCACATGAGCGCACCACACCGCCCGACTCTGACTGCCTCCTGGACCGCACTCGCTGCCCATACATCTGCCCCATGGACCTGGAAAACACACAAGTTAGTGCAAATTCTAAGAGGGAATGATGGTGCCTGATAAGATACCATCAGAAGATAATGATATAATGCACTGTGATGCATTGATTGATTTTTAGTAACCATGTTACTGAAAGAAGTCTTTCATGCTCACCAAGGCTGCATTTAATGAATCAAAAATACAGTAAAAACGGAAATATTATTTCCATTTAAAATAAGTGTTCTGTATTTGAATATATTTTAAAATGTAACTTCAGTGTCACATGATCCTTCAGAAATCATTCTAACATGCTGATTTAGTAACATTTATTATTGTTGTTAAAAACTTTGATGAATGTAAAGGGGGGGGGGGGAAACAACAACATTTATTTGAAATAGAATTTTTGCAACAATATAAATTACTTCACAGTCACTTTTGAACAACTTAATGCATCCTTGCTGAATAAAAGTATTAATTTCTTTAAAACAACTTTTACTGACCTCTGTGGAACTATGTGGCACACTCAAAAAAAGAGAAAAAAACAAAGGAAAAAAATAGGTAATTATGACTTTAGTTTTTATCTTGCAATTATGACTTTTTTCCTCACAATTCTAAGATTATATCTCTTAATTCTGACTTTTTTCTTGTGAGATTTAAACTCAGTTTTTTTATTCCGTTAGAAACAAGCTTCCATGGACCCCCAAATTAGCCAATTTTTATTCTAGATTTTTTAATTAAAAACAAAATCATTTTTAAAATTAGAAAACCTAAACGTCAAATCTAATTAAAATGCACTTTTTTACACAATATTTGTGTCTGCTATACTTTTGAAGCTAGTTAAACTGCAGCATGTTAACGCCAAACACTTTAGTGAAGTGCTATTTGTGAGTTGCTGCCTATGTGCAACATTACCAAACCCAGTTTGGATGCTGCCTTTGAAGGCAGCTGTCTTTGCAGACAGCAGGCAGCCCACTAAGGGTTGGAACAGAGCCACGGTGTCAGGTTTACACATTTTGAAATTTGAATAGGTTCACTTTTGTACCTGACTGATCCTTAAGGTGATAATCTGAGTGTTGGCCTAATTAACTATTTGGCTGTGAAGCAATTAGCCAGTCAAAATGAGTTAATCACCGCTCAGTACCTGCTGCTTTGTTCTACTGGCAGCACCAAACTCTAAACGGAGAACGGGAACAGAAGAATCAACAAGAACCTTGTGGTCTCTAATTTTGGGTGTTGGACTAATTAACTATTTGGCTGTGAAGCAATTAGCCAGTCAAAATGAGTTAATCACCGCTCAGTACCTGCTGCTTTGTTCTACTGGCAGCACCAAACTCTAAACGGAGAACGGGAACAGAAGAATCAACAAGAACCTTGTGGTCTCTAATTTTGGGATCATGTCAAACATACTAAAACGAGTATGAATAAATGCTAAACATCAGGCAAAATAGGAAATATGTCCTATTACAAAAAGGAAAAAAAACACGATACAGAGCTGAAAAATAAAAGGCTATGCATCAGAGAATTATCTTTTCAACATGTTAATCTATAGTCATTTGTTAGCTTGACTAATAACTTTATTTAACTTTCTTTAAGAAAATAGCTAAGAACTGCATGTATCAGTAAAAATAGGTATGTCTGTTAGTGAGTTTCTGAATAAATCTTTTTTTTCTACCATGATTCGCTTTATTTTATCATGGTAACCACATTTGAGGGGAAAAAAACTTAGTTACAGCAATTGAAGGGTCATTAAATTAATTTCACCTCCAAAAGCTTTTTTTGTCCTTTTTATGACAGTTGTGACTAATTACCAGTTTTACTGTGTTAATAATAAATGAAATGCAAGCAAATAGCATATTGTACAGTCTCAAGAACCAGTGGTTTAACAAAAGCAGCTTAAACCGAGAATCCAGCGAGTGCAGACAGCAAAGCATGACAAACAGAGATCTGTAAAGACAACAAGGACTGTGATTGTGCTTCAGGGGCTCAATCTCACAGCCACATTAGAAAATGAGGCTTTATTACCATTAATTTTCACTGTATTACATTAGCTGTGTCACCATAACCGAGTTTCCATCTCACATTCCCCACATTCAGCATCTCCTGCATGATAAATAGTCACTCCTGTAATGAGGCCCAATAATAATCCATCTCAGAAGGTTTTTGCTGCAAACACGGCCCATTGGGCCTCACCGTGTTAAACAAGAGCAGGGAAAATAGAGTTTTGTACAGCACAGTACAAAAAAAGTATTCAACAAGATTTTTACATTTTCTGATGCCAGTCTATTGATATGCATTTGGTGATTGCGGCAATGTTGGTGGTTACTTACTGACCCAAGTCAAAGATATTCTGGACCTTTGTTTGTTTTTTTTACCAGTTTTGTCATCTGTCAGATAAAATATGTAAGTCTGATTATCAACAAAAGTAACAACACACCTCTCTTCAACACAATTTGAAGTATCATTAGTTTCCATTTCAAAAAATTATAATGGGGGGGGGGGGAGGGGTGGGGTTTCA